GAAAAAAAAAAGGGTCTTGGCTAGCATCGAACACAGAATCAAACGTACAATTCATGAAAAAAAATGTATATACAAAAGTGCTCTTTTAGTTCCACCCTTACTTCCTAAGAAGTCCCAGAAGCCAACTGAATGACATGAGCGGGTTAGGGGTAGGAACGGACCGCGGGCTATAGTCCTTCGGAAGTCCGTTCCCAGAAGGACTATAGCCAGGGAGGAGGAAGAATAATTGACGAAATTCACAATGTTTAAGACGTTTGGCTGCAAAATGTAAAACAAGAATTAGAAAATCATTTAGACTACTGCCTTGCCGTTAACGGCAAACACTTTAAGTACTTTACTTAATGGTTGTAATGTTTATATGTTCCAATTTGAATTAAGGTTTTTTTTAATTCTAAGCCGGTTTTAATTTATTAAGAAAAATACATCTTAATGTTCCCTAATGGGCCACTACATATAAATAATATCAATACTGTGTCTATGCATATTTACATTCTTTTTCCAAAAATCATAGAAATAGCCTCTTCCAAAGGTAAAAAGGGGTGGTTTCAGAAAAAAAGTTGGCCCCCTTGGCGGGCTCCGTACTTTTTCCTTTGGAAATATAGGGGGGGGGGTAAACAATTTAAAATTATAATAACCTATATGATTTTGAAAAGTTGTTTGTTTATAAATAAACACAGTCTAAATACAAATTTTCAAATGAAAATTCCAATATCACATGTCAATATCAATGTCACATCAACATCTTATTTACACTATTAATCGACTTTCACTTATAAACTAAACACTAACCATTGATGCGTTTTCACTTATGGAATAAATTTCGATGAGAAAATAATTATAATTTTTGTCATCGAAAATTGAAAGTGTTATGGGGAATATAGAGGAGGGGGTAAACAATTTAAAATTATAATAACCTTTATGATTTTGAAAAGTTGTTTGTTTATAAATTAACACAGTCTAAATACAAATTTTCAAATGAAAATTTCAATATCACATACAAAAAAGTTTATATACAAAAGTGCTCTTTTAGTTCCACCCTTACTTCTTAAGAAGTCCCATAAGCCAACTGAATGGCTTGTGCGAGTTAGGGGTAGGAATGGACCGCGGGCTTAAAGTCCCCTCCGAAGGACAACATCTTATTTACACTATTAATCGACTTTCACTGATAAAATAAACACTAACCATTGATGCGTTTTCACTTATGGTATAAATTTCGATGAGAAAGTAATTATAATTTTAAATTGTCCCCCACCATTTCCCCCTACCACATTATGCACATTTATTTTAAACAACAACCCCACTTTTTGTCATCGTAAATTGATAGTGTTATGGGGAATATAGGGGGGGTAAACAATTTAAAATTATAATTACCTATATGATTTTGAAAAGTTGTTTGTTTATAAATTAACACAGTCTAAATACAAATTTTCAAATGAAAATTCCAATATCACATGTCAATATCAATGTCACATCAACATCTTATTTACACTATTAATCGACTTTCACTGATAAAATAAACACATTGATGCGCAGATTACGAATCAACTTAATTACAATGTCAATGTCAGTGTACCATTTAATATCATTCATCACAATTTCTAGTATACTACGCTACGAACTGTAGTGAGCAGTATTCTGCACATTAATTAATATTTTTAATTGAAAATAAGTAAAATTATTGATTACTGTTCTGCGCATCAATGGTTACTGTTTTATTTTCTCCAATAATAACGGAGTTGAAGTAATAGTAATGGTGAGCACACGATGTTTATTAATATATTTTAACATGGGTAACACAGGCGTACAAGGGTAACCACGATAAAAAAACGCGCTTAATACTCTTTTTCTGGTGTAGTGAGAAAAAGGGTGTTTGTGGTTTTACAAGCGCGGCGATGAATAGTCGGAGAAATCACCAAAAAGCTGGCCAACACTCTGATAAGGTTTACAACTTGTAAATTATAATTTATAACAGCTGTTATTAGTTGTGTGTTCAACACACACTGTGTTGTTTTTGTTGTTGTTTTTAAACTAATACCTACTTATTCTTACAAAATTTAACTACTCCTTAATAATAGAACTATAGTATACTTCAAAGGCACCCACATTTATATGACAAAAAGAAGATTCAATAAAATTAATAAAATTAAATAGGTATGGTCAAATTGCCAACATTCTTAAAGTTAAAGTTGAAAATAAATATAAATAAAAATACCAGTAAAATTAAAACTTAATTTATTAAAGAATAAAAATAAGCCATAATCACATATACCAATCAAGACACTCAAGACATCCAAGCAACACTTTTTATAGTACCTACATGTGATAAATATCTAAAACAACAATAAAGTAATTAATTTAAAATTTATATTATCATACTAATTTATTACTGTTATTTAATTGGAATCTTTTCTTCTGGACATATTTGAACTTGAATTTTTTGTTGTTATAAGCGTGGTTTGAATTGCCCAACAAAATTATTAAAACCCAGAACTGTCATCCTAGAATATTAAAAAAACAGTTTAGAATCATTTTCTTGATTTTTAAAAAGGTTGCTCTTTTTTACAAAATCCTGGATTGTCCTGGTATTGATGAATTGAGCCTTTTTACAAGGTAAAGGGCTGCCTGAGCAACTAATATAATGTTCATCTTTCATATTTAAACACAAATAAAGTAATAAAATGACAGAAAATAAACGTATACGTTAAAACAGAATATAAACAAAACAAGTGTCAACTATTTTTGTTGTCAACGCGCATGTTTACGGAATGCGGTACGGGAATCTATAAATTGAATTTTTACAAGACATACAAATCGTACGGGAGGAAGGAAGGAAGGAAGACAATCTATAAATCAGGCTTTATACAAGTAGTGTTCGAATTATTAAGTATTTAAGTGCAACGCTGTTTATTTTCTAAGACGATTTAATATCTAAAAACGGTTGTTATGAAAACAAAATATACAACTCATCTACAGGAACTTGAAGTTATCATGGTTGACAGATGTATTTTCCGATAGTTCCTGTCAGAAAACTCAAACTTTAAATAATCATAACTTTATTATTATTATCAAATTTATTTATTTTTATTTTTAAAACGTTATTGGAAAAGTTTGTTTAATCTTGTTATACGTACGTTATACAGTCCGACAACTGTATTTTGTTACTTTTGGGCACCATTTTCTGAATTGCGCCCTCTGTGCGATGTTCACTCTTTTTCGCAAATTAAGTCAACTTACCCCGAAAATTCAAAAACTGTCCAAATTTAATCAACATCGAATTTCTGCTCTCAGATTCACCCTTGCATACGTATAATTATAATAAATAAACTACTGGCGCTTTGGTTTTTCTTATAACAAATCTACAAAAAGGTAGATGATAAGGCTTTATGCAATACAAACTTAGTATAGTTGTGTAATTATTTAGGAAGTTCAGAAGAAAAGTATCTAAAAATACTAACCTGACCATTACATCCACTATCACATCACAGATTCACAACTGAGTGCCGGCGACAGGAGTAAAATGTGTAGCCACTATTGTATAAATTGTTTCGAAAATGATGTGAAATCAATGTAAGGTTATTTAGTAGAGATAGCATATGCTTGAGCGCTTTTAAAAGCGCGCGAGGATTTATTTATTTTTCGAGTTGAAAATGGGATGTTAAGTTATTTTAGTCATTGGCGTCCCTTGCAATTTCGCCGACATGTTTTTATTTTAATATTATTTAAATATTGAATTAGTCAAACATACAATTTTGTAGGTATAAATTAAAATGTTATCAATCTATAACAATTATTCAGTTAACACATTTTCTTAGATTTCCCTTGATACTGCTTCGCCACTGTACGGTAACATCAAGTCAAACAAACTTGATGATTTTGACACACATTTCGCGTCCAGTGTTATATAAGGTCAATTTATTTGTTGGTTATGTTATAATCTGCTTTTTAAATTCCGGGAGGGGCCTTAAGCATTGAAACTGTCATCCACGACCTTAAATAAATTACCAGCCGGGGTGAAAATTCATATCCAAAAAACACAGGTAATTCTGTGCAGTTGCTGGATACTTATGTGAACTGAAATATGGGAGATAAGTGTAAGGCAATGCCGATGGGGCCAGCCATACGTTATTTTACTCATATTCAGCATTACTCACTCATACTCATGTTATAATCTGCTTTTTAGTTTTGGCGCAAAATTCAAATACCGAGCACCGAGCGGTTATTAGAGCATTTATGAGTATTTTTTAAAGTGCTTATCCTTTTTTATGTCCGTCTCTTTAGTTATTTAAATAAACTTCTTCAAACAAAGACATTTTCTCAAAAACTAATTATTCAAAAAGCGTTACAGTTGTCCTAGTATGTGCAACTGTTTATCCTTAATAATGAACTGAATTGTGTATTTAACTTTTAAAGAAAACGTAAATTGTATTTAATAGATTCCTTTTCACCACTAAATACTGTCACCAGCCCATTTTTAATTTTTTTTTGAGAAAGTCTTTAAATTTGTTTTCAAGACACCTTTAATATTTTGTCATTTTAGCTATTTAATGAAAGTTATATTTTTATATTTTTTTACAAAAAAAAATTAAATATATTAAATAATTATTTCCAGTAGAAAGAAGTGAACTAAATTGTCAATTGCTTGAATAATTAACAAGTTATTTTACTAATTTTAAACAGAATAATTTTCATTAAACCTCAACATTTCTATATTCTGTTAAAAAGTTTTTCCGGGCCCTCACGTAGACGCATTGAAAAAAAATATATAATTTTATTACACGTGGGAATATAAAAACTATATTAAATATTTAATTTAGAATTACTGTGACATCTGTTGAGAGAAGTATCAAACGTTGCACTCCTATAACATTTTATTTTTCATTATGTTTAGGATTGTTTTCAAAGAGGTATAATGAAAAATATCGTTTAAAACATGTCCGCAAAAGCTTGTACCGTTCAAAAAAAGTCTATTTTGCGGACTATAATGCAATTTACAATTTTAGGTAGATGTAAGCTTTATTAACACACAACCGAAAAAGGCTTCTACTTCTTTGGCCACCTCAGGTGAAGAGCTAAAGGTACCCCCATTACATATATCTCTCAGAGGCAGGAACTCTGTAGTGATAAAAAATAAAAATAGGTTAAACTCAGATGGCATAATGAAAACCAAAATAAGAAAAACACAGGATATTCAAACAATTATGAAATTGGACCCACAAGAGTTACAATTAAGCAGTTCAAAAAACCCAAACGGGAATGATGTTACCAATTTAGACCAAAATAAAAATTCTGACTTAAAAAGGAACAAAAAAACGAAGACGAATTCTGATAACAAGGTAGGTATATGAAGGATATTTTTTATTAAAAAAGAATATGACCAAATATATAAAGTCAATTCACGTACTTTAAGACAAAAAACAACGCGTTAATTTTCATTGTAGCCAACTTATAAATGGTGAATTGATAAGAATTTAGATTTAACCCGTCATAAAAAAATAATGGTGTGGACATGATCAATATGTAACAAAGTATGAGTTTATAAATTGGGACAGTAATCCTAGACTGCCTGAAAACTTTTTTACTTTATTACAAATAAATCCGCCTTAAAACATCTAATTTTTCTATTATAATTTTTAGGATATTATAACAAGTTTTGAGCAAGACAACGACTTAAAAAAAAAATTTATGATTCACTGCATATTTAAGGAAAAACAAGGACAACATTCTGAGTCCGATATTCTAAGGGGTAATAATAAACATTACATCGAAAATAATATAAATATTGAAGAAGCGTCTCGTATTTCTCAAATTGAGCACTCACATATAGATCAGCTCCAAGTGTTGGGTTCTACTAATGTTGGCACAATAACTAGTTTACCTCAGAAACCCAGAAAAGATAAATTAAAAAGTAAGGAAGTCTTCAAAATAAAAGATTCAAATAGAAATAAATGTTATTCTTTAAAAAATACATTTGAAAAAATTAACAAGCATGTCGCTTTACCCACTACTGCAGAAATTGATATGGAAGCTAAGTTTAAACAAGGACTTCTAGAAGGTCAAAAGGGTTTTTCCAAACCACTTCATCGAACTGAAGTACATCTTACAGAAATTGTAATGGAAAATAATAAGGTAAGAAATTAAAAACCCTTGGCTTGTAAGTTCTTTATTTTACAAGATATATTTTTTTTAAATACAGTCACGTAGTTTTGTTAAGTAATTTATAAAAAATATCCCCATCTGAGAGGGGACTATATAATATTAAGTCAATATTTATAATTATTTGTAAGTAAATATGTATATATAAATTTAATTTTAGGCACCATTAAAGCCTCCTATATTTAAAGACAAATCCCCAGAATCTGATAAATGTAATATTTCCGTAAAAAAATCCTCCAGGGTTGAAAATAAATCAGGGGGCCATGGAAGTGGAGGTGAAAGATCACCTACAAGTGGTAACGCAGGACAAGGTGAAGACAGTGGAATTGAAAGTATGGATGCCCTTAGTGAAAAAAGTCCAAACCAAGCAAGTCAAAGTCCCCACGCGGATCAATTAATATCTACTGCTAAAATCAAAGTACCAGATATGTTGGACATTGAAGCTGAACTTGCAAAAATGGAAGGATTAAATGGAAATCGCGAAGAAAATACATCTGGTAAATCAGGTTTTGTAAAGGATAATATGACAGAAGATATTAATGAGAATGATCAACAAGCTACTAACGATCAAAATAAAATGATATGTTGTAAAATAAGTTGTCCATTACAAGACTCTCATAAAAAAAATACTATTTCTCCTGCTGGTCTCCAAATGGAAGAAAAGGAAGAAACGACCATAAGGGTAAGATTATATTTTCGTGTAAAATGGTTTGAGAAACAATATGAAATAGCATTTCTAGTAGAAATTTATACAGTGCTTGTGACCTTTTGCGCTATTTTAACTAAAAACAGCATTACAATTTTTAAGGGTATTAGTTAGTAATTTATAAAATATTCATTTTAAACTTACTAGTACCATCTTTACATCCAAATTATGCAAGGTCATCGATAAAATTTATATGAGTAAAAATGTGTATAAAAGGGTTCTTTAATTTTTTTCTAGGTCCCTTATTACAAATCTCAGGGTAATTTTTTTTTAAACAAAATGGCCGACATTTTAAATAAAAAATGATTTTGTCTAAATCATGTGTACGCGGGTTTATAAGGTCGCTGATTACGAATCTGAAATACAATGTTCAAAAGACAAAACAGCGGATCCAAAATGGCCGACTTAAAAAAAAGGAGGGTTTTTAAGGTCGCTGATTACGAATCTGTATTACAATGTTCAAAAAACAAGATAAAGGATCCAAACTGGCCGACATTTCAAAGAAAAACTGATCGGATTTTGTCAATATTATATGTAAAATAGTTTTTGTGGTCGCTGATTACTAGGGCTGGGACTTTTCTGTGCGTACGCTCACCGACGCACCTTTATAACTAGATATTATTGTAACTTGTTTGAAAATTTGTACAATCATCATAAATCATGATGATTGTGCAAATGTTAAATTTTTAAAATCATCATTTTTCATGGTGAAAGTCCCATTTTTCAAACAGTTGAAAGTAGATAAAATATCTAGGTTTAGAGGTGCGTGGGAAAGCGTTCGCGCAGGAAAGCACCGGCCCTGCTGATTACGAATTCAAGGTCCAAATTTGTAATAAAAAAAACCAAAATTACAGAATCAAAATGGCTGACATATATATACGAGGTGTATTCAGAAAATAATGGGAATTTTTAAATTTCGCGGGTTTGGAGAGTCCGGTTGTCATAAAATTGTCTTTATTATGTTGGTATATATACCTCTGAAGAATGATAAAAGTTTTAAATGTTTTCATTGTTTACTTTGTCTTTGGCAGCCGCTAAGGTTAGACGTGTTTTTATGAGCTCGGCGATTTTCGTTCGTTAAAAGTAATGGATCAAAGAATTTGTATCAAATTTTGGGTAAAAAATGAAATAAAGTGTGTGAAATTTTAAGAAAGGCCTATGGTGAGTTTGCTATGAGTAAAACAAGAGTTTATAAGTGATATTGAGTTTCCAAGATGGCCGTAAATACGTTGAAGATGACGAACGCCCCGGACGCCCAAGCACATTAACAACCGATAAAAACATGGAAAAAGTGGAAGAAATGAGGCGTTTCTCGGAAAAACATAATTAGTCCAATATCGTCGAAATTTAGATATTAGCACCAACTGTTTCCTAACCTCCATATATACGTATACAAATAAGTGTTTCTTGTAAAAATGTCATAGGTTCCATAATAATTAAATATGAAATTTAGCTTGTTCTTCTAAAAACATCACTCCGTTTCGTCTAAGAAAGTCACATGTACACAACATGTGACGTTTTTGGACACTCTAGAAAAGCTTCTACCTCTTTTACATTACCACAGCAATAGAAAATTTTATGATAACTTGATAAAAGACCAGAAGACCATAGCACCTGACAGTCCTGATAACACGGTCGACAACGATGATAACAGCAGTGGATGCGAAGACTGAGTGTGGCAGTAATACAGTTTTTAGTTTTTTCATTTATTTTGTTACTCAGAGTTAGTATTTAGTTTGTAGTGTTTTTTTCTTCTAAAAACCTCACATGTTCATGTATTTTTTGTGTTTTTTTCATATTCGTTTGAAAATACAAACATGAGGAATTCTGGACAAAGTATCTTACATTTTTTACATGTAGTAAATAGGTCAATAAAGTATTTTGGTCAAAAATGGGAATGTCGGAGAGTTTTTTTCATTTTCCCAAATATGTTAATTTTGGACTAATGATGTTTTTCCGAGAAACGCGTCAAGCGGTTATAAACCATCAAAGAAGTCGCTGATGATGTTGGTATATCGATTGGCTCATCGCTTGAAATTTTTTTAAATGTTTTGGGTATGAAACGCATGGCCACAAAATTTGATCTAAAATTGTTAAATTTTCAACAAAATTTTTTCCAAAAACAATACTCTAATGATGCCCCAGCCTCCATATTCGCCAGACATGCCTCTGTCTGACTTTTTCCTATTTCCAAAAATAAAGAGAAGCTTAAAGGGCCCTCGTTTTGCAAGCAAAGATGACATTAAAAGCGCATCGCTGAAGGAACTAAAGGCTATCCCAAAGATCGAGTTTTAGAAGTGTTTCGAGTATTGGAAGAAGAGCTGGCACATGTGCATAATATCCAATGGGGACCATTTTGAAGGCGACAACATTAATGTAGACGAATAAATAAATATTTGTTTCAAAAAACGAACACACCTCGTATGTATATTAGGGTGGAGCGAAATTTTTTTTTCCTTAGCCTGGGGGTGGAATTTGTAGCCTATAAAAAAAGAAAATTTTTGAAATAAAAAAAAATTTTTTACTCAACGTCTTGAGGTGGCCCACTGATTTTTTAAATTAAATTTATGTTAAAATTCTTTTGAATAAAAAAAAAAATTTATTGGCTTGTAATCTTCAAATTTATCTAAAAATAAACAAATTTGATCGTGTTCAACTCGAAATTCGCTCTATTGCCTCAGAAAAGCATGTTACTATTTTGGAATTTTTTTAAAAACAACAATAATGACCACAAAATTTTTTTCATAAACATAACTGTTAATTAGCAAGAAAGAGGACACTCTGCAGTTTCCGGAACACTTTTGAAAATTTTTTTTTATTCAAAAGAATTTTAACTTAAATTTAATTTAAAAAATCAGTGGGCCACCTCAAGACGTTGAGTAAAAAATTTTTTTTTATTTCGAAAATTTTCTTTTTTTATAGGCTACAAATTCCACCCCCAGGCTAAGGAAAATTTTTTTTTTCTTTTTTTCGCTCCACCCTAATGTATATATGTATATTGAGCGATTTCGACGAACGACCAATCATATTTCTTGTTTTGAAACAAGCTATTTGAAATAAATATTTTTGATGCTGTGGCATATCGGCACACTATGATTTTTTTCTTCGAAAACTAAAAATCCATTTTCTACACTGTTTGTATTTTTTTTTATTTTAATCTTTAAGCGAAAACAAGTTTTTTTTTATCTATATTAGATCGTGACTATCGAAAAATTAACAGTTTTTTCGGAATTTTAATAATTTTGATTTTTTCCACTTTCGGTCATTTTGTAGTATTAAAAATGATTTTTTTTATTTAATCTTTTTATATTTAGCCCTTTTAATTGTTAAAATTGTTTAAAAAAAAATTATTATTAGTAATAATTATTTTAAGATTGAAAATCAATGAATCAATAATTTTACTAGAGTTGGCCGACACTTATATAAATGACCGATAAGTGACCGATATGTGACCGTCACATTCATAAGTGACCGACCAATTTTTAAAAGTGACCGATTTTAAATTTCGCGGGTTAATCGCGAAAGAATTTACGCTGTGTCTAGTCTCACGCTAGCGTGAACGCAATTTTATTCTTATTCTCACGCGGTGACGTCACTAATTATAATCCGTTTTTGTTCCCAGAGCGTTTAATATTTGACAACAAGCTAGATGGCTCCGATGGTAGGGCGGGCGCTTGGCATGCGAGAGGTCCCGGGTTCGATTCTAAGAACTTTTTTTATTTTTTTATTTCATAAATTTGTTGTTTCTTTGTTAAACAGTGTTCGGTTGGGTTGGGTTGGTTAAATTGTTTTAGTTTTATCGTAGTTTTATCGTAACATAAAATCTACCAGAAGTTGTCGAACTTTTTTATTTCATAAATTTGTTGTTCCTTTGTTAAAGTGTTTTATTTTTATCGTAACATAAATTTGCCCATTTTAGTTGGGTTTTTTGCTCAATGGGGCGGGGGGGGGGCAATGGGGCGGGGTCGGTTGGGTTGTGTTGTTGAGTTTGGGTTGGTTTGGCTGCAGTAAAAGAGTCTCGATTTTATTATTAGTAAATTTTATTACATTTGCATAATCAAATCAAATGACATAATCAAATAATAATCAAATCAAATGACACGACACCTAAAAAGTAAAATTAAATAAAATAATGCGTGAGAATAAAATTAAAATTATTTTGACTTTAGCGTGAGAATAAAAATTAAATTGCGTTCACGCTAGCGTGAGACTAGACACAGTGAAGAATTTAACTTGTATCCTAACCTTAAAAAGTTGGTAAATAAATAATGTCTGAATTTGTTAATCGGGAATTTGGAATCGGGATCTGAATTTGTTAATCAGGATTATTTAATAAACTTTATTGTTAATTTAAAAAAATGGGTAAGCAATAGTTTGGAATTATTTCGATAAAACTTTAAAAAATGGTAAAAAAGTGGGCAAATGTGTGTTTTGTAATGTTGAATATATAAGCCTTGCAACCAGAATGAATAAACATTTAAAAATCTGTAAAAAATGTTCAGATAACTGATTCATTTGAAATTAAAAAACTTGATGATAACCTGGATGCAAACACAATTTTTGTAACACAAATTTTGCCATAAAATAATTAACTTTCATATTTTATTCTTTAATGTTTTATTTTAAAATGTTTAATGTTTTTTAAGTTTTATTTAACTGTAGCAAATGTGATCTCAAAAAAATTATTTATAAATAAAGTAAATAGTAAATTTACAAATTATTTTAATTTGTAGTACAAACTATTGATGGGATTTTCAAATAATGAGTAAAAAATGCATAAGAATACAGGTTTTAATACGAAAATCAATTGTTTAAATTCCAAGAGTTAAATAATTTAATTGCTGAGGCATGAATAGGAATTAAATGCATTCAAAACCCACAAGAATTGATTGCTTTTAAAATTTGCATTTGAAAAGTAGCTACAAATTTAAAGAATCATATTTTTTTATTAATAACTTAACCAATTTAATAAAAAAATATAAGTATTTGGTATCAATGAAAAGCTCTCAACACAAGCTATTGTTTAAAGTAATGTTGTTACGTTTTTATAAGTGACGGTCACATTCGCAATGTGACCGGTCATAAAACAATGTGAACGGTCATTTGCCAACTCTAAATTTTACTAATAATAATAATAATAATGTACATTCAATGTATATTCATAGTAGTGTCTTTAATTTTTTTAACAACTTTAATAGTTCAAGTACTAAATAAAAAAAATATTTTTTATATTACAAAATGTCCGAAAGTGGAAAAAATCGAAATAATTAAAATTTAAAATTACGAAAAACATATTAATTTTTCGATAGCCACAACTTAATATAGATAAAAAAAAAGTTGTATTTGCTTAAAGATTAAAAACAAAAAAAAATTAAAAAATGTACAAACAGTGTAGAAAATGGATTTTTAGTTTTTGAAGAAAAAATCTGTGTGCCGATATTCCACAGCCTCAAAAATATTTATTTCAAATAGCTTGTTTCAAGACAAGAAAAATGATTGGTCGTTCGTCGAAATCGCTCAATTGGAACCAAAGTTATGATCGATGACATATTGGCAAAATCGTTATAATCATGAAAATTTAAAAAATCATATCTCCAAAAACAATTGATAAGTGCTAAAATTAATATTGAATTTTTATTTTGAGTCAAGGAACCCATGGAAAAATTGCCAAGGAAATTCGAAATGGCAAGGTTTTTTTTCGTGTCGAATTCACTTGGAATTCCCCATATAATAATAATAATAATTCGTATATATAATTTAAATGTTTTCATATTGAAAAAAATGGTTTTTTACAATATCTCGAAAATAAAGGCCAATTGGACAAAATAATGCTTATTTTTAGAATCAGCGCACCCAAGTAACCATGAAAAAGTTGTTGGCTACCCTGTGGCAAAATGGCTGTTGACACTCATTTCACCATCATTTTTTGACACTATTATAGTAAAAAAACATAATATACAAATTCCAATTGTTTTGTGCGTTGTTGCGTTAAAGCAATATTGGGAACATAAGTACATATACAAGGTGTTGGGGATTAAATGGTACAAAATCAATGAGTTAATAGGCCACGTTAAAACAAGCATTTTATGTCTTAGGGGAATGTGTCCGGAGTCGCCCCCTACCGAGCGTTAAAAACTGCGCGCACCGTTTGAATTTCGCGCGCGGCCTTGCTGGCTGGGCATGCCTCATATTTAGAGAACTATACAGGGTGTCCCGGAAATGTTGTGAGAAAATTTTACAGTGCATTCCTTAGTAAAAATAATAGTTTTTTATGCTTTACGGGTTTTGGTTTCCATGTTACAGGGTGACAACAGTTTTCAATTTTTTTAAACTTTTGAACCCTTGAATATACGGAAATGGAAATGCATAAACACTGGCGTAACTTTATATGAAAAAAAGTATTAATTTTTTCATTGTTAAATTTTTCGGATATTGCGTAAGTGAGAGTTTGGCCCTCAAAATAAATAATTATCTTCAGCATTTTATTTTCAGAAAAAGACAACCCATTGTGTTCAATAAACGTAAACATTGTTTAATATGTATTTAAAAATTAAATTTAAATTAATTAATTAAACACATTTTATAGTGAATAACTCGACGTCACTTTACATTCATGGTTTTATTGACATAACAGTGTTTTTTTACATTTTTTTCAATGCTTTTCTTGGATTCTTTACTTTTAAAATTTAATTTCAAATATGTAAACACTAATTTAAATCATATTTATGTAAATTTGTAAAAATTATTATGTACAATAATTGTAATTATGGTTGTCAACCTACCAATAAAATGATAACAATCTACTCCCTATATCGGTGTTCTGTTTTTGACGCCTTTAGCTCAGAAGAGAGCGTTTCAGGACACAGGCCCCCAAGACCAAGAATGCTTGTCTCAGCGTGGCCCAATTGATTTATTTATTAACTTTGGTGATATGTTAAACAAATATTAGAAATATTCCCCAACTCCAAAACAAAACACAAAGTTTTTAAAGTACTTTTCGCCAACGATGTTGGCATCATCGGAAACAAAGGGTATCTTTACTTTTGTTGTGGTAGTCAAAAGTAGTGAACAAGCTCTGTACAAGCTCAGGTCTAAAATATGGCTAAGAAATAGGTTTCTTTATATAAAAGCCTGTATAGTTTCCATGAATTAACTACAACAGTTCATCAGATTAATTCATTCTGCAGCACCAGTTTTTTCCATGAATTCACACATTTTGTGTTTACTATTTTATCAATGTTGCGTTTTCGAATCGGTAACATATTAAAGCGACTATTAAACTATTTAAAGTATTTTTATTTAATTCGTATTTTATGGAATGTTTATAAGAACTATAATTTTTTCCAATTTAAAAAAAATAAAGCATTGTTTGATGATTAAAAGTTGGTGTTTTTTATCCAGAAGTTTTAACTTTAATACTTTATTAGTTTTTAAAAATTTGTTTTTTGCAAATAAATATTTATATTGAAATCTTCAAACATTTACCAAGTCTTTACCAGTTAAACTTAAAAACTGAAAAAAAATTTCAAAGTGTTACGCAACCATGGAAACAAATGGGTTATCGTAATTTTGTCAGTTTCGGGAGACCGTTTAATATATTTTAATTTTAGACCGAAATGGATCCACTGCCAGTTCGCATAACTCCAGCTCTTTATACATACTCCAACACTGAAAAAGTCCGCGTTGGGTCGGAAAGTCCTTGCGTTTCCGACGAAGATAGCAACTCATGCATGGCTGTAGGTTCTGCATCCCATATTAAATCAAAGAGTTTGTTAGAACAGCTTCTTATTGAAATTCCCAATGATCACCAATCAAATACCAGTTCACCAAGTCCAGCTACAAGATCTTCAGTGAGAACTAGAGCGCTTTCAAAAATGAGTAGTCCTGAACTTGGATCCCCGGTACCAAAACACACACGTACGCCACCTAGCGCAAAGCGAAAAAGAAATGAGTCTGATAGTTCTACACACAGTATAGATGATGTTAAAAATAGAAAAAAAAAGTATTCGGTGAGTAATATAAAAAATATAATTTAGGGTGTCCTAAAAATGGGGCACTGCAGAGTGGTCTGGAAAAGCAAAAAAATGGCCAAAATTCATTTAAAAATAAAACTAACAAAGACATCATTATAAAATTATGAAAACCCCATATTTTTGTGGTAATAACTAGTATGAATTAAAATTTTTACTGGATTACAGTCTCAGTAGCGGCGATTTTATAAAGGCCTAAAATTAACCCTTTATGCTTCTTGTTTCCTTTAAAAAATCTGTTGTATAAACAAGCAACCTTTGTAATATTTTAACCATTTAGGCCCTAAATGTAAACTCTTACAAAACTTGCTTGTTTATACAACCGCTTTTTAAAGGAAACAAGAAGGTTAAAGGGTATAAACTTTAAACAGCAACTGTCGGAAGATATGAGATATTATTATACTTAAATACTGTAGTATGCAAAATTATGTAAATTTCAATGTAGAATTGGGCGTTATTAAATGACCATCAGATCATCTGATGAATTATTATAATTGGTGATTTTAATATTTCTAATATGCAGCCTAATAACCGTAAATATGTTAATTATCAAAATTATTGTAATTTTCAAAATATTTCTCAATTTAATGATATTCATAACAGGTATGGCGGTTTACTAGATCTTGTTTTGAGTGATCTCATGGATGTTTGTGTCTATGAGGCTGTACCTCTGGTGGATATGAACAACTATCATCCCCCTCTAAGCATACGTTTTGAATTTTTAGCACATAAATATACTAACTTTAGCAGTTTTCCGAATAACAAAGCTTACAATTTTAAAAGGAGTAATTTTCCAGATCTTTACAATGCTATTTTAAATCATGATTGGTACTTTGAAAGCAATGATGCTAACTTGGCATGTGATATGTTTTACAAAGATCTTTATACTATCATAGATCGGTACGTTCCTAAATATATTTCTAAAAATAAAAAATATCCTAGATGGTATTGGTATGAACTAATTCAAAGTTTAAAACTTAAGGATTATTACTTTAAACATTTTCGCATGTTTGGTAATCAATATTATTATCACACTCAGTTTAAAAAACAACGCACATTGGTAAAGAGATTAACTAAAGATTGTTATCAGGCACACTTAAATCAGATAGAGTCTACCCTACAGTCTGATCCCAACAAATTTTGGTCATATGTAAATTCAAAGAAAAGTAGCTCGCGTATCCCAGGCAAAATGTTTTCTGGCGATAGTCTTTTAGAATCGCCACAGGAAATTGTTGATGAATTTTCTAATTATTTCAGTAGCGTATACTTAAAGCCTCATGATCAAAATAACATCTCCTCAACTACTTGTAATATTATTCAAAGTATACATATACATGAGTTTACTGAAGACGATATCCTTGGAGCATTTCGAAAACTAAAATGTGGTTTTACTGCCGGTGATGACTTAATTCCAGCATTTTTAATTAAGGATTGCTCTCATACCTTTGTAACGCCAATGTTAAAGATATTTAATCTTATATTAAGAACTTCTGAATTTCCAAGTGTCTGGAAGTTAATTTGTGTGACACCTGTGCTTAAATCTGGTGAAGCTGCGAACATTGCTAATTACAGACCAATAGCAATATTGTCCAATTTTGCGAAGGTCTTTGAGATCTGTTTATATAGCCGCATCTGCCCTTTGCTGTCATTATGTATTACTCCCCAACAACATGGTTTTATGAGTAATAGATCTACACTAACAAACCTAACTGTTTTCTCACAGTTTATTGCTGATAATATTGATAATCGTGGGCACGGATTTCTCGAAGGCCTTTGACACAATTGTGCATACTATTTTGATTAACAAACTTGGTTATATCACACTGTACGAGATGTTAAAGACTGCGAGCTTCTTCAGTCAGATCTGAACTTAATTCAGCTGTGGTGTAAGGAAAACTCCTTAGGCCTAAACATATCTAAATGTAAAGTTTGTCCCGTTCTAGCTTAGTCAAAGATCTAGGAATTTTGTTTGATAGTAAGTTAAGCTTTGTAAATCATATTCAAAATATTTGTAACTCTGCTAATAGGGTTCTTGGTTTTATTTATCGAAAATGTAAATCTTTAAAAAATATGTTTGCACTAAAGTCACTATATTTCAGTTTAGTTCGTTCTAAACATGAATATTGTTCAAATATTTGGTATCCTTATTATCAGAATCACTGCAAATCACTTGAAGAAGTTCAACGTCGATTTTTGAAAACGTTATATATTAAAAAACACAATACTTATCCAGATAGGGGATATGATCACAATCTATTATTGCAGGAATTTAATATTTCAGCACTAGATGTTAGGAGGAATATATTTTCAATTAAATTTTTGTACAAACTTGTCCATAATAAGATTGACTGTCCAGATCTGCTTGAGCGGTTGAATTTTCATGTTACGCGTATTCATTCTAGGTCAGTTTCAACCTTTAAATGTTTTGCACGTACAAATGTACTTTTGCGGTCGCCAATGTTTGTTATGTGTACCAACTTTAATAAAATATCTCACGTGTGTGATATTAATTATTCTGAATTGTCGTTTATTATTTGTACTTTTTTAAGCGTTAATTAGTTTATTTTTGTTTATAGACTTATTTTACTATGTATAAGTTATTTTATATTTTTGCTATTATGGTGTTACTATTGTTTTTATTTTTTGTTCTTTGTCCTGTAATTGGAATTTTTTCTGTTGGGCAAATAAATTTATTATTTATTATTTATTTATTTATTTATCTGATTCAGATGTAACCGATTTTTAATTTCGCGGGCAAATTACAATGGAATTTGTCTTGAATCCTAACCTCAAAATATTTGTGTTTGGTTTTGGGGAATATATTAATATTCTTTATCAACTCCCCCATTGATAAGCTGTGACTTTATGGCGTTTTAGTCACGGGCTGATGTTACCAACAGTGGCTCTTGGCCATTTTAGTCACGGGCTAAAGTTGGCTTTATTTTAAGTTTGAAAAAAGTGAGGTTAAATCCGTTGACAGATGACAGATGTCAAATGTTTAACAAATAAACTTGGCTTTAAACTCTTTTGTGTTCGTCGCAGATAAAGTATAGTATGCTACTCGTTTTATAAACTTCTGTAGACACTCGTTTTTATTAAACACTTGGTCGCAAGCTTGTGCCTAAAATGGTGTTTATAAAACTTGATATACTATTTGTTACATATCACCAAAGTCGCCCTTAAAGTAAGTTAAAAATTAAATTATTTTGAAACCTATTTAAAATATTATTAAATAATAACACAAGTTTTATTTATTAATAGAGTTTTAGAGTGAATGTGGCCATCACTTATAATGATGTATCTGTATTTTTACAATATTATTGTAAAAAATATAAATCATTATTTAATAGCTTGCAATAAGAGCTTTTTAATGATACCATGTAGAAGTTTTTTTAACCACCCTATAAAGAGGTTATAAAAAACAGTTTACTACTTCTACCATGAGTTATCATACTTTTTTGTTATTTGTGTTAATTATAGCATATAATTATACGAGATAATGCAGGCAATTATTCTTGAGGAAGAATATAATATAAGTATATATAGTTTTAAGGTTCCCATAGTGTGTTATTGATTATTGTTTTGTTTATTTCATTTCATTTTAGAAAATAAAGTATCTGATTTTACTATAACAAACATTAAAAACAATGCTTATGAGGTGGAGAGAATTTAGGTAGCAAAAATAATAATATTAATAATAATAATTAACTTTATTGCGTAATATACATAATTTACATATTATACAAAACACAATGGGTGTAAGCTCAAAAAGGGAATTTTCATTATAAAATAAGGAAATATCACTTTTGAAAAGGTGGCAACACTAAAGAAAGGGTCAATTGACTAAATGGAGAGTAAATAATAATAAAATAATCCATGTGGTTTCACAAAAAATAGGCCACGCCACTTTTTGTAAAACAAAGTATGTAAGAGCTGCGCTGTTCTGGTTTTCCTTTTTGGACAATTGGTCACCTTAGGTTTAATGTAAATCATTATCTATTATGCAATTGCAATAGTAGTAGAAAAGAATACTAATACTAAAATGACAGGCATTACAATTAATGGGTAAAGGTGTTATGTTACATTTGTAATAATAAGGGGCAGAGAGCATTGGATTGTTAATTTAAAATTTATTTTTAAATACAAGATTATAACGTTAATTACTTGTCATTAACCCTTAATTAAGGGCTTTAAATTTAAAACTATACCCTTTTTTATGACTATAGAACACACAAGCCAAATTCCCTTGTAATTTGAAATTTAAAATCGGTCACATTTGAAATTCAGTCGGTCAATTATGGTCACTTATAATGAAAGTGAGTATATAACATAAATAAAGCTTATTATTAATTATATTAATAATAATATTGCCTCTGTATATTTTTTATTTACGTATTAAATATGAATGGGACTGATTTTTTTGTTAATTTTAACTCTGCAGCGTTGGTTTTTCGTATCCTGGGCAGTTAGGGAGGGTATAGAAACGAATTCAATTTATTCAGGTTTATTTTGTATTTAAAATATTATTAAATATTAACACAAGTTTTATTTATTAATAGAGTTTTCTTGATCTTTGTGGAGCAACAGATAATTATTAATTTTTTGACCAAGGAAGAGCAAATCCAACAGACATTTTACGGAGATTACATGCACAGTTCAAGAATAACTCCATGTTAAGAACCCGTGTCTGCATGGCACAGATAATTTTCTGGCGGACGTGAAAACGTCGAAAACCACAGCCACGATCGACGCCCAAAGACGAGTGTGACTGAAGCCAACATTGAAACGCTCCGGAATCTCCTGACACCGGATATCACTCAGATACTCAACATTGGTTACAAGAGCGTCGAACAGATCGTACGTGAAATGTCATTCTTCTTTACGACAATGCCAAGCCTCATTCAACAAACGATACGAGGGATCATTTGGAAGCGCTTGGAAGCCAGCGTTTCTATGACGATCAAGCAGTGCAGAATTTT